CACATGCATATATACTATATACATATACATATATGTATAAATATACATATATATATATATATATATATATATATATATATATATATATATATATATATATATATATATATATATATATATAATGTATGTAATATCACATATATATATATGTATATATATATATATATATATATATATATATATATATATATATATATATATATATATATATATACTCGTATATAGACAGATAAATAGATAGATAAATAAATAAATATATATACATACATACATGTATATATAATATATATATATATATATATATATATATATATATATATATATATATATATTGAGTGCGTGTGTGAGTGTGTGTGTGTAAGTGCTCGTGTACGTATAAGAATTAAATTGTTGAACAACCATGTAAATGTTTCAATACGCACATACTAATGAGCGCCCGTAAAAAAAAACTGGGACCTCTCTATCTATCTGTTTATTCATAAAAAAGTGGGACCTCTCTATCTATATATTCATTCATATATATCTGTCTATCTATCTCTCTGGTCCTCTCTGAAGTTAAAATCTGTTCTTGATGTATAACTGCATTTTTATGTTGTGCCATAAATTTGTGTCAGGCTCTGATTTGAATATCAAATCCTTTCTGTAAATAATCAGATTAAATACCATAAATTAAAAATCACGGTAACTTCCTCTTTATCAAAACAAATGTCCATAATTGTTATATGTACATCGGTAATGAACGTAAGTTTATGATATCAGGTTAGCCTTCGTGTAGCCATTTCTTAATCAGTGGAACGCCTATGGACTTCGTTGTACCGCCGTGTAACATTTTATTCGTTATATAAGCTTGGCGTTGCATAAGGTTACCGTCTGGTCTATAACTAAGTTCCCAAGGAATGCGGGGAACGGCTCGGATGCCAAAATAAACACGGCAGAAAAAAGGGCGACGGAACAGTGGCGCCGCCATACGACAACAACACACACTTGGTGACTGCTGAGGGGCTACGTCGCGATAATATTTTCTTATTATTTATTGCAACACTTCACATCAATTCTAAGACGTCGCGATAGTATTTTCTTAATATTTATTGCAACATTTCACATCAATTATGTCCGAGGGAAATGTGCCAGCACAGTAGCGTATCCAGTTTTAGCATTTTAAATTGAAGATTTTAAAGAATCACCAAATTCTACTAAGCATGTTACCAAAGGTTGGCATTCTTTCCTTTTTATAAACTACAACGTACATATATATATAATATATTATATATATATATATATATATATATATATATATATATATATATATATATACATATATATACACACATATACGCACACACACACACGCACATATATATATGGATATGTATTTATACAAAATATATATATATATACATATAGATGGATAGATAGATAGATAGATAGATGCACATATATATTTATATGTATATAAGCATATATGTTCATGTGCATATACATACATATATATATATATATATATATATATATATATATATATTATATATATATATGTATGTATGTATGTGTGTGTGTGTGTGTGTGTGTGTGTGTGTGTGTGTGTGTGTGTGTGTGTGTGTGTGTGTGTGTGTGTGTGTGTGTGTGTGTGTGTGTGTGTGCATGTGCATTGTATATGTATATGTATATGTATATGTATATGTATATATACATATTATATATATATATATATATATATATATATATATATATATATATATATATATATATATGTGTGTGTGTGTGTGTGTGTGTGTGTGTGTGTGTGTGTGTGTGTGTGTGTGTGTGTGTGTGTGTGTGTGTGTGTGTGTGTGTGTGAGTATCTATATACTCGTATATATGTAGAATATAGGATAATGAAGAAAATATATGCATATATCTATTCTTTACCCATACTTATAAATCTATACGAGAAAATATAAATAATTAGACACACCACACCCACACACTCTAACACACACACTCACGCACACACACACACACACACACACTCAATCACGCATGCACACTGATAATATATATATTATATAAATATATACATATATATATACATATATCCACAATAACATATATAGTATATATACATATATAGTTCAGGCTAGAGAGGTTACAGCACTCCATTCATCCCAAGCACACCGACAGGACACCGAGTTTATCGACCTCTGCCTTATCAGTCGCGGGGGACACTGTCGGCGGCTGCGTGAGGCCACCAAAATGCCTCATCGGTAGCGTCGAGGTCAGATATAACATTCTTCTGTGTCAAGTTTTATTAAGAAACCTATAATACTACAACAATCTATTAGGCAATATTATTATTAAAGAGCTTTAAAAAAAAAACTGCATACAAGTGTGCACGTATACATATAAAGCTTACATACATGTATATTACACGGATTCATATAACAAACTTATAGGTTATCGAGAGAATATATGATTAATGGATTTGAGAGTCTCCTGTTGATCGAACAGAAATGGCTACCCACTAATGTACTGTACACTCACTTACTCACCGTGTTTGGTACCTCACTTTAGGCAAATATCCCAGTGCATGAGACCTGCCTGTCATTCACTACTGAACGCACACACAAACTTACTCTTTATATGCAGATAAATATCATTTACATGACACTCCAACTTACAAACATACTAATCACATTTATATATGTCAGTATCATAAAGTACCAATATTGTTTAACTTACACAAGTACAAAACTTAGATGGCTATATATGTTGTAAATAACTAACACGGTCAGTGGTGCAAATACTATACTAAACCCACATATGAACATCATATATTACTGTGTCCATAAAGAATATTTCTAAACTATTAGGTATAACAAGTGTGTTTTATACTGTTTGTAAATATGTACACACGCATGTGCTATTGTATACAAGCATATACATGAAATATATCAATCACAAACACCATAATGATTCTGATATCTTTTGAAATGTCTCTAATGGAAGACCTATGATGACTGCCCCGAATAAGGCACTAAGGCAGAATTTATTTTACACAAGTTCGTTTCTAAGGAATGTATAAATAAAACCGAAACATGAAGTTCAGCAATTTGTTTGAAATCCATTTCTTGCGTGTATGATGCCGAGTTCCATTTCCTTAGGGTCATAAGAATATAAACGACAACTAAATATGTGAAAAAGTGTTCGACACGAATTAGATAGCACCAGCAGAAACTATCACAAATTTCCGTGATGTAAATAGTAAGAGAGCAAAAGTTTTTACGTTTCATTGACACGAAATCTTTTTTTTTTTTTTTTTTTTTTTTGTTAAAATACAAAAAAGTACTTTATAAAGATTCCGCAGAAGAATGCCGTTTCACCCTACTAGTTCTGACAACAAAAATGTTTTATATCTAAACTTCGCTGAGTCTAGATTCCCTGACAAAGTGCAAAAAAATAATCACACTGAACAAACGGCGTCGCAGCCAAACTCATGTCATTTCCATTGCCAAACAAGTGGTTGACAATTCCTTCAAAGGGCTGTATCCCTTTCCCTTGACTAGCCACATCGGGATGAAAAACGAAGAGAGAAACGTTTGGATTCGCCAGTGCGCAGCGTCGCCTCGTTCGCTCTCTCACTCGTGGGAACCAAGCGCCTCGCACGCGGACAGGCCAGACGACCTGCATGCTTGTGTCCTTCCTAACGTTCACAGCCAGAGCCCTACATGTGCAGGCCGGACACGGTGCTGATCTTGCGGTTCCGCAGGCTGCTCCTCCCCGACAGCTCCTCCTCGATCTCCTCCAGCGTCTTCCCTCGAGTCTCGGGCACGAGGAAGAAGGCGAACAAGGTCGCTAGGGTCATGATGCCCGTGAATATGTAGAACACGTAGGACGGCCCGATCAGCTCCACCATCCCGGGGAAGGTCTTGGTGATGACGAAGGTGCAGGACCAGTTCAGGGCCGTGACGATGGACGCGGCGGGGCCCCTGATCTTGACGGGCAGGGCCTCCCCCATGAAGAGCCAGGGGATGGGGCCCCAGCCGAGGGAGAAGGCGACCACGTAGACCATGAAGCTGACGAGGGGCAGCCAGGAGAGGCTGTCGACGGTCTCCTTCCAGCCCGTGACGTCATCCGTGCTGTTCCCCGCGCCTGCCGTCAGGTTCATGGTCCCGGCGACGGACATCGCGTTTTCCGCCGTTTCCTGCAAGGGAGAGAGAACGGTCAGCTGTTAGCGAAAGCAGTTTGTTTGAAACACGCGTCGCACCAGATACGGTCTGAGTGCAAGTTTACAAACGTGAATCCGCGCAGATAGTCTTCATTTAATATTGTCCTCTACAAATGTTTTGCTAATGTATTATACAAGTAACAATATATATATATATATATATATATATATATATGTGTGTGTGTGTGTGTGTGTGTGTGTATGTTTGTATAACGTACATAATATATAAGCACAAAGGCCCAATAACGAAAGCACACCGATAAAAAATGACAACGAACACAACCCGACCATGACCTCTAGCTCATTTTGAACCCATTACCACAAGGGACATCTGAGACTGTTTTTGCCTCTACGGTTTGTTTACGCAGAGCAACCCGGAGGTCGTGTTGATCACTTAGTATTCAGTGTTGCACAGTGCCTTTGGGTCTTTATGATGAGGATAACACACTCTTGCACGAGGAGTCCAGAATGTCTGCCCGGGCTTCAACATAAACATTCAGACAACGGCCATTGCATTTGCATAATTAGACAAACATGTTAACCAGTGGAAACTAGTAGTAAGGCAAAGAAAATAACTAAATACGTATATAAAAAAATCAGTAATAGAGATATAAGCAATTGGTAGATATATTCAGATAAAAGTAAATGAAATACGACAAATAAGCAAAAAATAAATAATTAATAACAATAAAAAATAAATAAACAAATAAAAAAACAAAAAAATAAGGATAGAAATTTGATAATGACGCGATTTTACGATTTATAATTCTCTTGGGTCGAATAATTCTGAATATATTGCGAATCATGCATAATGATGGAAGCCAGATGCGAATTATAATGCAGAATCTTTTTGATAAAACCTGAATATACTTTTTGACTTGTATAATCTTTAGCATTAATATTGTTGGTGGAAGCGATGTCATATATATCGTTTTATCGCCATTATTAGTACCAGCATTATTATTAATTCATCTTCATTGTGATATGGTTCATATTCGCGTTTTTATTTCATTGCTATTACTACCCTTGTCATAACTGATATTATTGCCATTAATCATAACATTTTAAATAATGGTTTTCACATCTTTTTGTACGGAAAAATTGTAGAAATGACAGAAACGCAAAACCATGATGATAAACAGACAAACGAGAGAGAGGAGAAAGCGGAAAAATATTTAAGAATGCGGAGCTGACCAGAATAAACAATAAACCTACCAGCACGTTACGAACAAAACAAGAACCAGACGAAGAAGAAAGAAGAAAAAAAAGAAAAGAACACACAGAAAAGAAAAAGAACACACAGAAAAGGAGTGTGAAGGCTGTAATACACACCTTGATGTAAAAGAACGTTCCCAGAGCCACGAGTGACAACACGATCAAGACACTGGACACGTAAAGGAGGATCTTTCTTCCTAGTCGGTCGATGAGCACGTTGGCGAGGAAGGTGGAGAGCAGGTTCACGACGCCCACGATGATGGTCGACAGGTAGTTGTTGATGGTGGAACCCGACATCTTGAAGATCGACACGGTGTAGAAGATGACGGCGTTGATGCCAGACAGCTGCTGGAAGAGCATGAGGCCCATGGCGAGCAGGAAGGGTTTGGCATACTGGCGTCTGAACAGGTCCTTCAAGGAGGAGGATTCTTGCTTGGCGATCTCGAAGTTCCTCTGGATGGCGTCGAGTTCGAAGTCCACGTCGGCGGCTGATCCTCGGAGCCACTCGAGTGAGGCTTGGGCGTCCTCAACGCGATCTGTGGCGGGAGATTGGTGTCAGGGACTCGGAGGAGGAGGAGGAGGAAAGAGAGGACATGGAAACCGTTCGAATTAAGAAATAATTTCTCCTGCTTCAGCTGACATAGTTTTAAAGTTTTTCTATTCAACTGGTCCTTCTTCCGGTTATACAAGTGTATATACGGAAAATAATACGGAAAATAGGTGTTTTGCAATCATTTCGTGATTGTTTAGTACTCATGGAGATATTTCTTGTTTCTCTAATTATAAACCGCATATCCACAAAAGTGACGGGTACTCGAAAAAAAAAAATACTCTAAAATACTCTCAAACTCCTAATCTTTTAAGGAAATACACAGCTGATCACGAACTGTCGACGAACTCACCTCGAGAGATGTACCACCTCGGGGTCTCGGGTACGAAGCACATCAGGGTAGTGAAGACCAGGGGAATAATAGCCCCCACGAGAGCCAGCCACCACCAGTTGACGTACGACCCGACCAGGAAACAGACGAGGATACCTGTGCAAAGGAAAAACACAATAAAAAAAATGGGGTAACGTTTACCAGACGCTGTAGACGAGGTAAAGTTTTTAGATAAGATAATAATTCTCGCTTTTTATTTCTTTCTTTCTTTTTTATGATTTTAGATTTGCGTGCTTTGTTTCGAAGCTTCGGCACAAAACTAATCTTAATACAGAAAAGTGTGTATGAAACTTAAGAGCATTAAGAGGATCTCGTGAGCATATCTGAATGAAAACAATCAGTGATGCTTACTTACAATAAGGGTAAAGATGTGAGATATTCATAAGTATTCCTTCCTTCGCAACTTTATAATATAAATTGTTCTATATCAGACAAGAGGAGGAGGAGGGGGACGAGGAGGAGGAGGAGGAGGAGGAGGGGGGGGGGAGGAGTGAGGAAGAGGAAGAGAAGAAGAAAAAAAGAGGAGGGAAGGAGGTGGTGGAGGATGGGAAAGTGGAGGAGGAGGAAGAAGAAGAAGAAGAAAAGAAGAAGAAGAGAAGAAGGACGTTTTTTTTTTCTTCAATATCTCAACAGGCTTTCACAACTATACAGCAATTCCTTTCGTCCCAACACCCAGGCGCTGCAGAGAGAGCCACTCAGGGCTACATGATAATAAACCCGTCATACAGGTGCAGCTGTTTCATACCCATGTACCTTAGTTACAACCAGGCGTTTGTCGGCCGACGTGCACGAGCATCATTTCAGATTGCTTTGTTTGTTCTTTGTGTGTCATGCGCATTGAGGAAATAAGAATGTATTTAGGAATAGGTGTGATATAATAATGGGTAATATGTGAGTGAATAAATAGCCTACATGGTCTACAAATATAAAAAAGTCGATGAATAAACGATGAGTGAATAAATAGCCTACACAGTTTACAAATATAAGAAAAATAATGTTTAAAAGGTAAGTGAATAAATAACCTACATGGTCTGGACAAATAAGAAAATAATGAATAAAAGCGTGAATAAACAACCTATAGATGTAATTAAGACGGCAATGGTGTCAAAGGAAAAGACCCGAAAACGATAATAGGCCTACCTATTAAATTACCGACGAAGACCCGGCGATAACGGGACTAAACTTACTAAATTACCAAAGAAGACCCGACGATAACAAGCGTAAACTTACCTAAATGACCGATCAAGACCCGACGTTATCAGGACTAAACAACGTATTTGCGGATAAAAACCCGACGATATTAAGACTAAAGTTAACGAATTTACAGAAAAAAACGAGATCAGGACTAAACTTACCGAACCGACAGAAAAAACGAGATCAGGACTAAACTTACCGAACTGACAGAAACAAACACAATAATATCAGGAATAAACCAACCGAATTTACAGATAAACCCCCCCCCCGACTATTACTGAACTACCTAAACCACCCACTAAGTCTCGACGATAACGAGCCTAAACTTACCCAAATTCCCGATGGTGGTCGGCAGGAGACCCAGCACGCCGCGAATTTCAGGCTGAATGGTCTCGCTGAGGTAGACAGGCAGCGTGAGGGTGAGCAGACCGACGCAGAGACCGCCGATGGCCCGACCGACGTAGATCATCCAGATGTTCATGGCGGACCCGATCAGAATCCAGGCTGAGGGAGAGAGGGCGTGGTGAGCTTGCCGTGGTGGTGATGGTAGAGGAAGTGGAGGAGGAGGTGGGTGGAGGGGGAGGGGAAGGGAGGGTGGAGTGGTGGGAAGGAGGAGGAGTGGTGGAAGAGAAGGAGAGAAGAGGAGGAGGAAGGAGAGGAAGGAGGTGAGGAAGTGGAGGAAAGGGAGGAAGGAGGAAGAGGAGAAAGAGGAGGAGGAGGAGGAAGAAGAAGAAGAAGAAGAAGAAGAGAAGAAGAAAAAGAAGAAGAAGAAGAAGAAGAAGAAGAAGAAGAAGAAGAAGAAGAAGAAGAAGAAGAAGAAGAAGAAGAAGAAGAAGAGGAGAAGGAGGAGGTGGAGGGTACTGTGTTTACTTTGCAAAAATATTTAGGCTTCTTTCCTTGTTTTTTGCAGTTTAGTTATATTTTCAAAAATACACATCATTGTAAATAAGACCAAGATCCTTTTTTTGAGAGAAAGTAATGTTTTATAATGGGGAATAAAGTAAGAAATATATATCAAGTTCTACGCTGATCTTGAAACCTATTCAAACCATTAATACTGCCGTTTCTTACCATTATTTACTTCCTACATCTTTACCAAACCACATCACAATATGAATCTTATCACGCCGAAGCAATAAACACATAAATAAATAAAAACAGACGAAGATTAGGATCCGGAAATAAACGACAAACGACGAAAGAGCCAATCGCGATGAAATAAAAACAAATAGATACAGACTACACAAAAGTTTAAATATTAGGATCCGGGATTAAAATGAATAAAAACATAAATAGGGGATACAGACTACACAAAAGTCTAAAACCCCATAAAAAAAAGAAAGAAAACATAAATATGAATCTTATCACGCCGAAGCAATTAACACACAAATAAATAAAAACAGACGAAGATTACGATCCGGAAATTAACCGACCAAAACAAACGGACGAAAGAGCCAATCGCGATGAAATAAAAACATAAATAGGGAGATACAGACTACACAAAAGTCTAAAACCCCATAAAAGAAGAAAGAAAACATAAACCTTACATCTTCACCAAACCAAATCACAATATGAATCTTAACACGCCGAACCAATAAACACATAAATAAATAAAAATAGACGAAGATTAGGATCCGGATATTAACCGATCACAACAAACAGCCGGAAGAGGCAATCGCAAAATCTTCGCTTCCCGGTCTTTGTCCGTTGGGGGAAAGAACGTGCCATAGGAAGTGTGGTATGTGAAATTATAGGACTACGGCAGTTTATGCATTAATTGAAATGGATTAATAAATAAGGAGATGTGAATATGAATAAAGGAATAAGTTAATGCGAATAAATTAACAATTAGATGAGATATAAATAAGTATATTATCTAACTTAGGAAATATTAGGCAATTGTACATATTTCGGTCTGTATATAGACTTTTCGGTCTGTATATCCTATCTTATGAATGATATTTTTCGAATAATTTTGAATTTTCCATTGGCGGCAATAATAATAGTTATTTTTTTTAAAAATTATCTCCTATTTCAGTGATGCGTGATAATAACTCCCCATATATATTAATCTCACAACCAAAAAATAAACAAATGCATAAATAAATATAAAAAAATATGAATCTCAAAATGGAACAAAATAACAACGAAAAAAAACGATTAAAAAATATATATCCTTACCCAAAATAAACGGCGGACCGCACAAGAGGATGACCATCTTCCTCCCGATGGCGTCGATGAGGTAGCCCCCGATAAAACTACCCGTGAGGGCGCTGAGGGGCATCAGTGACCCGATCCACGACTTCTGGTCCTCGTTGACAGTCAGGGTAGAGTTCGGGGCATCGAGGGAGGCGAGGGCAGGTGAAGTGTAGGCCGCACTGAACCCCACGGCCATGGAGCCTATGGACACCGAAACAGCTGCCAGCACCTAAAAGGTAAACAAAGGGGATGGTTGGTGCGCGGCGTGAATGGTTGGTGTTTGGGGTATTGGGGGGGGGGTTGTGGTGTTGTGTGTGTGTGTGTGTGTGTGTGTGTGTGTGTGTGTGTGTGTGTGTGTGTGTGTGTGTGTGTGTGTGTGAGAGAGAGAGAGAGAGAGAGAGAGAGAGAGAGAGACAGACAGACAGACAGACAGACAGACAGACAGACAGACAGTTAGACAGACAGACAGACAGACAGAGAGTGAGTGAGTGAATATACGTGTGGCCGAGTGAATTTGTCAGGGGGCTGTGTATTGCGTGCGTGAGGAAAGGGAGTATACCTACAGGAAACTCAACCAAAAGATTGCATATGCATCAGAATTTAAAATAATTACTTCCCAGCATTTTACATGGAACCTCTTACTCTCACAACCATTCACATCCTTTCAGAACCTTGCAACATGCAGGATCATGTCACCCCAGTTCGAACTTTTTCACGGTAGAAATGATGAAACATGTCATATGCCTGTGACGACATTATGCCCCGACCTTGCGCCCTGGGATGAGCATAAATGGGGTTATCTGACCAGCTGCAGTCTCTGACGTCATCACACATTACCAGAGGTTATGGTAGGAAATGCGTGGTTTGTCTGTTATTATCTCGCTTGTTGCTCCCTTTAATGGCATCAAGGCACCGTGTGAAAAAAATCCGGGATCTTGGCCTTTATTCTTGTCTCTTGTTTTTATTTACCTGTTCGTTGCATTGTTAATTAGTTAATTAGGCGAGGGTAAGTTCCATAAGAATGTAGATTTTCCCCTTTTGATGACAGTCCCACGGGAAGCGATGACGTGTAGGACAAGTGGTGAAAGAAAATGATTAGCAAGTCAGGCGTGAACGTGTATTATGTGTGATCACAGTGCTACGACAGCTTATACATTAATTGCTTGAAAACGTGTGTTTATATGAGTCCTAGCACGTCCCTCGGTCCCGTCCGTGTTACACTGAGGTCGCTTCTTGGTATTCTCAGAGGAGTTTGAGTTCTTTCCCTTGTGGGTCCCAGAATGGCTTGATTTGGCTTGATTTGGCCTCACGGAAATGGTTCAGGCAAGCGGGAGAAATGTTCGTGACATACCCAACGTTTTACTTAACCTTGACGACTGCACACCACCATTCATAAGCTCTGCCAAATGCGTGCGGTTCATTTTATACATTTTTTTTATTGACGTTGGGACCGAGGAAAGTGGGACAAGGGGAAAATTCATTCGCGCAGCTGATTCGACTAAGACGCGCCAAAGTTGTGAGAAAACACCGCCTGTGTCGCAGTTGGCGCTCTCCTTCCCTTGGGTGTAAACGTGTACTCCACGTGGTTGCTTTGGGCGCTTTGTGACAAGGAGGAAGCTGTATGGTTGGTTGACGGAGGATGAAGGTGTCGGGTTGATGTGAATAAAGAATGATTCGAGTGGGGGGATGGAGGGGGTCGGGTAGATGAGGTTGATGACTAAAGATTTACTAGAATGGGAGTGATTTTCTTTCTCTGGTGGTGGGTGAGGAGCGGGGACTGAAAGAAAAGAGGTAAAGGGTTCGATTTTTCTTTCAAATTCATCCTTTCGAAAGCAATTATATAGGCCTACATGTGGATCGACACAGATTCCGAGCTCTACCCGGAAAGGCGAGGCGTTCCAGAGATGCTGCGGTTGAAATGAAGAAGTCTCGTGTCACAGGTGTCGGCGAAGGTGCGTCTCGTCCGCTCTGGTGTGGGAACCGTCGCGTCGCCGCCACAACCGGCCGCAGGGGACAGGGGGGGTGGGGGGAGAGGGGGGAGACAGGAAGACTCCGTGACGGACACTGTCACTTGTGCCTATTACGAGACTCATTTTGTGAGGTGCCTTTTTCGACGTCATGCCCGCCCGTCCACAAAGCCTCTGCCCAGCCCCGTCTCCGGATGACGTCACTCCAGGGCAGCGTCCCCGAGATCGTCCTCTCGCGAGTGCCACATCCTGGCCGGGGCGCGCTCGGTGCCAATCACAGATGGCGCCGGACCTTCTCTGGGGCGGGGCTTGAGCTTCGGAAAACTAGGCATTGGACAGCTCTGGTTTAAGGAACATTGCGTCTGGCTCCCCGTTTCAACCCTGCTTGCTTAGCGGTGTAGTGCGCATAACTTGGGATGTATATGCACCTTTATTTAAAAGGATTGTTCAACACACACACACACACACACATATATATATATATATATATATATATATATATATATATATATATATATATATATATATGAGATGAGAGAGAGAGAGAGAGAGATAGAGAGAGAGAGAGACATATATGTATATACATATAAAATATATATATATATATAAATATATATATATATATATATATATATGTGTGGTGTGTGTGGTGTGTGTGTGTGTGTGTGTGTGTGTGTGTGTGTTGTGTGTGTGTGTGTGTGTGTGTGTGTGTGTGTGTGTGTGTGTGTGTGTGTGTGTGTGAAATCAAGATTTTGTCCCCGCTTGCACCCCCCCTCCACGCCACCCCCCCCCACCACGAACCCCCCTGGAGGCGGAGCAACGCGCCAGAGACGACTCGCACGCCCACGAAATATGCATCCGAGTAGCCTGTAAGGGAAGCCGTGGCGCCGCGGGAGGGAGGGAGGCTCCGGTGACCGCGCCCGACCGCGAGCCGTGGGCGTTTCGGCTTTCACGCTCCGACGCCCGCCTGCTGCTGCCTGTCCACGGGCGGGTCCGCTCCGCCTCGCGTGATGCTGGGCAGGGCTCTCGGGGTCGGTCGGGGGGGGGGGGGGGGGGGGGGTCGCGCGTACTTGCATTCCTGCATGTGTGTATGGTAGGTATACACACACGCCATGCACACACACATACGCACACGCACACGCACGCACGTACAAACACACAGACACACACACACACACACACACACACACACACACACACACACACACACACACACACACACACACACACACACACACACACACACACACACACACACACATATATATATATATATATATATATATATATATATATATATATATATATATATATATACATATCTGTGCATGTATATACTGGAAGCCAAAACCAACCGGAAGACTCCCATTCGCAGGAACCTTACGATTCGTGATTTTTTACGATTTACGACAACATTTGGGTCACAATTATTCGTTACCTTCCTCTGATCATAAGTTCCCAAAGAGACTTTAATGAATTCATCTTATACAAGGTCGGTAATACAAATAAAACTGTACAGACATAGTAATACATAATTATATTGCATATGTATCAGTAATGTCATAAATACACTTACGGAGAAAACAACATGGATTTCCGTGTGACAGAATGTAATAGGATTCCTCACTATCGAAAAATTACGGTTTTCGAACTTGGCTTTACGAAAATTTGTTGTGAATATATTCATGCACTTGCACATACAAGTATATGAATAAATACATACATGAGTGTGTGTGTGTGTGTGTGTGTGTGTGTGTGTGTGTGTGTGTGTGTGTGTGTGTGTGTGTGTGTGTGTGTGTGTGTGTGTGTGTGAGAGAGAGAGAGAGAGAGAGAGAGAGAGAGAGAGAGAGAGAGAGAGAGAGAGAGAGAGAGAAAGAGAGAGAATACACTAAGACAAAATCAACAGATATGAAAACAGAAAAAAATTATGAAGTCAAATCAATACAAAATTAAGTAAACAACAAACATAAACAATACAAGTACATCTCCACCGACACTCGTCCTTACCAACGAAACACGCCATCAAACAAACCGTTATCATCTAAACGTACAAAAAACAACCAAAAAAGAAAAAAAATAAAGCGATTCGGCGGAAGACAAGGAACAGACAGGAGAGAGCAGATGAGACCTACGTGACGCAGACCAGGAAACTCGGGAGCAACACCAGGTCACGGTATCGCGGTGTCTTGCTGATCCTCCTCCCTCGCCTGCGGTCGGTCAGTGTCATGCAGGTCGGAGTGGTGGGCTGACGTTGCTTTTTTTTGTTGTTGTTTTTACGGCAACAAGTCGATAGTTTTGTTGTTGTTAATGGCAAAAAATCAATATGTTTGTTGTTTTGACGGCAAAACGTCGATATTTTTGTGTTTTGACGGTAAAACGTCGATAATATTGTTGTTGTTAACTGCGAAACAATTTTTTTTGTTGTTTTAAAGGCAATACGTCGATACTTTTGTTGTTCATGGCATAACGTCGATATTTTTGTTGTTAATGGCTGGTTAAACGTCGATATTTTTCTTGTTTTGACGGCAAAACGTCGATATTTTTGTTAACCTCAAAATGTCGATATATTGTTGTGACGGCTAAATATCGCTATTTTGTTGTTATTGTAATGGTGAAAGTGTGAATGGTACGCGTTTATGTGTTGTGTACTATTTTTGGTATGGTTTGTTTGAGAGGTTTGTGGGTCAAAGATAGGATAAGGAGAGGATGGAAAGGATATTTAGATGAGAATAGAAATAAATTATTGTAATGAGGGATCGGAAGAGAATGCGAGAGAGAAAGAAGGTAATATACCAAGAAAAGTGGACAGAAAAGGGAAATAAAAAACAGTAAATAGATTTAAAAAGAGAGGGAAACAAAGCAATATAAAAGACAGAAGGAGGATATGATGACATTTTCTTCCAGTCTATAACTTCCGTGACGTAATTGTATGGTTGCTTAACGTTGCATCTATCCTGAGCAGATAATGATTACTTGCGAGTTGCTTGAGGTATTGCATGCATCCGGTTTCATGTACCTACTGGTGGGTGGGTGGCATGGAACCTCATGTTAGTCACGAAAGCCAGGCTGATGACCCTCTTCTGTGTCATGCAATTGTCACGAATTCTTGCCAAAAAGGTAAAATGTTTCGTGACGGTAATTTCACGGGAATTGGATATACTCTGCGGACATGGAGGAAGGGTATGAGTGAGAATGGATATATTCTGCGGACATGGAGGAAAGGTATGAGTGAGAATGGGTGTAATATATTCTGCGGAACTGT